AGAAAAAAGACAGCTGATATTTCAAGCATATGCATGGCTATTTTTAATTTAAAACTCATTGGGTTCAATGGGACTCACTTCTGGATAGATATTGACTGTATATCCAATTCTTTTGAGATGCACAATTGATTTTTTTTTCATGTCAGGAGTGGCTTTGAGATACTGCAAGTCACTTTTGATGTGAGAGAATTGACCATCTGCAAGGATGTTGCCCGGATATTTTGATGTTTTACCATCCTTGTGGGAGACTTCTTTCATGTTCATACATGGGGAGCTGGAGCTGACAGAGGGAGCTCATCCAAACTCTCCCTGGATTCGAACCTCCGACCTGTCTTCAATTCTGCCGGCACAAGGGTTTAACCCATTGTGCCACGGGGGGCTCCACAATGGAAATGAATTACCACAGAGATATATGGTAAGTAATACGATTTCTATTCCGGTTCCTAATTTTCTTAAAGCTGGAATTAGTTCCGATACAGACTGCAATTTCTTAAGATGCTTATTCTTCTATCCTTTGAGTGGAATGACATTTTGCCTGGATTATTTTAACACACGGTGAGTGAATCGGCCATTTGTTAGGAGTGAAGCCCTGCTCATAATTCAGGTGGCTTTATCCAACCATCTCCTGATGACAGTGAAACTTTTCCAAGGTCAATGCATTTAGGCACTTTCTGCTCTGTTCAATGAGTGAACATACCTGAGACACCATCTAAACCAGGCATGGGCAAACTTTTTAACTTGGGGGTCACATGGTGGGCTGGAGTAGGGTGGGCAAGCTGGGTAGGGGAGCTTCTCCCCAAGTCCCCTCACTGCCCTTTCCTCCCCTCCCTCTTCTCTTTTCAAGGAAGAAAGTGAGGGAAAGACAGGAAATATTTGGATCCCAAAAAGGTTGGCCTTGGTCAGGATGAGATGGTGGATGGGAGAGAAAAAGTGTATCCATCAGGCCCCGTATTGCCTACTCCTGATATAGAATCCTAGAGCTGGAAGACGCCCCCAAGGGCCATCCAGTCCAACCCCCTGCCATGCAGAAAGGCACAATCAAAGCACTCCCAGTAGACAGCCTCTGTGGAAAAGCCTCCAGAGAAGGAGACTCCACCACACTCCCAGGCAGCCTAGGCCACTCTACAACAGCTCTTACTCTCAGGAAGTTCTTCCTAATCTTTTCCGTTGAATCTCTTTCCCTGCCATTTGGAACCATTGCTTCCTTGTGCCCTGGTCTCTAGAGCAGCAGAAAGTCAGTTTTTTTCCCTTTCCTCCTCCTTCTCAGTAGGACACCCTTTGAAATCTGGAAACATGGTTCTCATGTTCCCTCTCTACCTTCTCTTCTCCCAGCTAAACATCCCCCAGAAGGAAAGGAGGAAGGAAAAAGAGAAGGAAAGAAGAAAAGGAGGAAAAGGAGGATGGAAGGAAGGGTGGAATGGAGGGAAGGAAGGGAGAAGGAAGGATGAAAGGAAGGAAAGAAGGAAGATAGGAAGGAGAAAGACAGAGAGGGAAGGAGAAATACAGAGAGGGAAGGAAGGATGAAAGGGTGGAAGGGAAGGAAGGAGGGAGGGAGAAAGAGGGAGGTAAAGAAGTAAGGGAAGGAGGGAGGAAAAACAGAAGGAAGGATAGAATGGTAAGAGGGGGGACTTGAAAAAAGAGCCCCATTAGCCGCATCCGGGCCCCGGACTTGGGTTTGCCCATACCTGATATAAACTGATAAGGTATACCTGCCAATATAAAGGCGCTCCATGCAGTCATTCCAACCACATGACCTTGGAGGTGTCTATGGACAATGCCCGCTCTTCGGCTTAGAAATGGAGATGAGCACCACACCCCATAGTCGGATACGATTTGACTTCATGTCAGGGGGAAACCTTTATCTATACCTGCCGATTAATAGCAATATCTCTAACAATATCTACATGTGAATCTTCTCTAGCAAACGAGGCAGAGAGCCTTGAGAGAGAGATGTCTTCTTTTCTCTGCCCACTCTTTAGAGACCCACCCAGATACATGGGAGATGGTTTTGTTGACACTTATTATTATAACTATTGCTAATACATAACACAGTATAATTATGGATATCAGTTCTCCACCCCGTTGAATGTATTTTGGTTCAAACCCAGCAACGAAACTCTATTTAACTGGAACTAGATATGGTGTTTCCATCCCTATCTATGGCCTTTGCAGATGCACCATCTTATTGTTGTTACTGTTTTCGAAACCAAAACAATCTGCTCTGTTTATTGCATCCTTTTTTTAATGCAAAGCACCCTCGGTTGAGTTCCTGAGTTCTATTTTCTTTCCATGACAGTAATGCAAAGACTATTAGCCCCAACTCCATTCGAAGCAACCACTCAAGGGATTAGCAAAGCCCAGCTGCTTGCCGGCAAATGCGTCCTCCCTCGAAGGTTTAATGCCGCCGTTCTATATAACCCTTGAGGGAAGCCGGGAGAGGAGTTCTCCAAATGGGCACTGCTTTCTGGAGCCTACTTTTCACAGACCTATAGACAACAACCTCGCCATATGCCGTACAATTGCATATACTTTGTGACAATACATCCAGAAATGGCTTAGCTTTGAGCAATCTCCATAGCAAAACTGAATATATATTCTTGCAATCTCAATGCAATCTCAATGGCAAGCTGGGCACAATCCATACATTGTGGGGCACCTCCCTTGCATTTGGAGGAGGCCCAAAAACCATTGTGGGTGGATCATGTTAGAAAGCCTGATGCACCAAGATATTGAGCATTTCTAGTGTTCAAGACATAGGTTTATATCCGGAGAGATATGCGCCAGTGCAAAATGGGTGAATTGTTTAGCTCTTAACACTTGCATCCCAGATAGATAGATAGATAGATAGATAGATAGATAGATAGATAGATAGATAGATAGATAGATGATAGATAGATAGATAGATAGATAGATAGAGATAGATAGATCATGAATGCTCACTTATTTCCAACTAGCCATCCCCTGCCATGTGTTGCTGTGGCCCAGTCTGTATATATGTGTTTTGTGTGTGTATATATGTGTGTTTATATATTTGTGTATATGTGTATGTGTGTGTTTGTGTATATATGTCTGGTTTTGCGCATACGTTGTAATGTATTTTTATTTTTTGGCTTTTAAGTCTTTTCTGCTGTGTTTTTCAGTGTTTTATGAGAGATGGTCACTTGTTGGCCTGATAGGTGTATTGGGTCCAAATTTGGTGTCAGTTCGCCCGGTGGTTTTTGAGTTATGTTAATCCCACAAACGAACATTACATTTTTATTTATATAGATGTATGTGCATAATCAATCACAGTTTCAGAAACAAAACCTATCCATGGCCATACAGCCTGGAAAACTCACAGCAATCCAGGGATTCCAGCCATGAAAACCATCTCAGATAGATAGATAGATAGATAGATAGATAGATAGATAGATAGATAGATAGATAGATAGATAGATCAGGAATGCTCACTCATTTCCAATATATTTGCACAATCTTCGCTCCAGGCTCACTTTGCTCTGAACAATCACAGTTTCAGAAGCAAAACCTATCCATGGCCACACAGCCTGGAAAACTCACAGCAACCCAGTGATTCCAGCCATGAAAGCCATCCCAGATAGATATATAGATGGATAGATAGAAAGATCATGAATGCTCACTCGTTTCCAATGTATTTGCACAATCTTCCCTCCAAGCTCATGAACAATCAGTTTCAGAAACAAAACCTATCCATGGCAATGCAGCCTGGAAAACTTGCAGCAACTCAGTGATTTCAGCCATGAAAACCATCTGAGATAGATAGATAGATAGATAGATAGATAGATAGATAGATAGATAGATAGATAGATAGATAGATAGATAGATAGAGATAGATCGGGAATGCTCACTTGTTTCCAGTGTATTTGCACAATCTTCGCTCCAGACTCACTCTGGTGTGAACAATCACAGTTTCAGAAGCAAAATCTATCCATGGCCAAACAGCCTGGAAAACTCACAGCAACACAGTGATTTTGGCCACGAAAGCCCTTGACAACATGAAACCTATCCATTTGTTATTTCTAGAATGTACAGTCTAAGAATTGCCACCCAATTTTTCTGTTTTGTTGAAAGTTTCATTAAATTTTAATCGCAATGCAAATTTGACTCCAAGGAGCTGGCTGCAAGGTGCTCAATCGTTTTCTTTTAAGATAGCCTGTCTTTTAATAGTTTTTCAAATGGAGTGAATTTTATTTAAATAGCAGTGATCTTCTAAAAAGCAACAAAAAGGCCATTTAATTGCTGGTATCGCTCTTACAGATGCTTTTGCTTTATTGTTAAGTCTGCTCTGGTTTCCCTATTCCGTTATACTAAGGTGGAATATTCTTTAATACTCCACCCTGAGTTCTGGAATTGATGGAAAGCCATACTATAAATTATGCTAAAACTCAGCATTGTTGCTGTCGTTGTTTGTCTCTTTTCCCATTGCCTTCCACATAAAGAGGAGTTTGCCTCCGAAATACAGATCCACTGATATAGTAGAAACTTTAGGGTGCTAAATGCTTGACAGCCTTCCAAGGATTCCATCCCCGTGAAATGCCACCCAAAAGTGATATTTCTCCCGAGCCTTTCTCCGAGGCCAATCTGGAGTCGGACATTTGCTAGACACCCGCAGCATATGGCTAACAAAAGACACCAGATGATCGCATCATATATCAGAAATCTGGTGCCGGGAACCGAAGGAGACCAGATTCTGGGAGGGGGAGTCAAGAAACACACCCATCACCCATCCTTTGAAAGCTCCATTTCTATACGATTCAAAGAGTATCCCCTTTTTGACAAATATTCCTCCTGAAAATCCAATAAACCTTTGCCGTCCCAAGAGATCGAAGATTTTGCAGTGTCTCACCTCTCCCCCTCCTTGCCTTTCCATTGCTGCACTGTAGGCAGAGAGCCAAATAAAACAAAAGTAGGGCCAAATCCCCCCAGAAATATAATGATAATAGTAAGAATAATACAAGGGAAGAAAGAGAAACATTCCTTACCTGGAGCAGGACGGCTTTGGTTCCAGAGTTGCCAATGCTGTGTTTAATACTATTCCTCCACCAGGCATCGATGTCCCTTTGCTTCTGTCTAGGTTGTGGCATCCAAGGGGGATTAGCCACTGTCCTGGCCAAGCAGAGTGGGTCACAGGCCTCCAGGTGAGGAGAGATCAGCAGGGAGAGCCTCCATCCGCTCGCCTTGGTGGAGGGAGAGAGGGTGCCGAAGTGTGGGTCTGGCACACCAACAGCCAAGCCGTAGGGAAGGACAGGCAGGCTGCAGGCGGAGCAGATGGGAGGGGTGGGAGCAGACCTGGCCAGCAGGGAATTGCGAGCAGAACAGATGTGTTGACTTGAACTTACATATAGGAAATTGATGGTCTTCGGCCCCAAAAGAGGGGGGGTGGATAAGGCAGGCGAGAGACAATAGTCAATATTATAAAAAGGGGAGGTGCGTTGGTGCAGCAGGCTCCAGCCTCTGTTCCTCCACCCACATGCAAGCATTTAAAAAAAACACCATAACTGCATGGAAGGGGAAACTATTTCTAGGGCAGGAGTTCTAGATAGAATGATAGGATCCTAGAGTTGGAAGAGACCCCCAAGGCCATCCAGTCCAACCCTTTCTCTCATTGAAAGAATGATAAGATCCTAGATTTGGGAGATAACCCAAGGACTATCCAGTCCAACCTTTCCTACCATTGGAAGAATCATAGGATCCTAAAGTTGGGAGGCACCACAAGGGCCATCCATTCCAACCTCAATCTTCCATTGAAAGAATCATGGCATATTAGAGTTGGAAGAGATTCCCAGGGCCGTCTAGTCCAACCCTTTCTACAAATTGAAAGAACAAAGGATGCTGGAGTTGGTTGGGACCATAAGGGTCATCCATTCCAAACTCATTCTGCCATTAAAAGAATTAAAGCAGGGGTCCTCAAACTAAGGCCTGGGGGCCGGATGCAGCCCTCCAAGGTCATTTACCTGGCCCTCGCTCAGGGTCAACCTAAGTCTGAAATGACTTGAAAGCACACAACAACAATAATATCTCATCAGCCAAAAGTAGGCTCATATTTCTCATTGAAATACTAATAAGTTTATATTTGTTAAAATTGTTCTTCATTTTAATTATTGTATTGTTTTTCAGTGTCTTTTGCACTACAAATAAAATATGTGCAGAGTGCATAGGAATTCATTCATGCTTCTTTCAAATTATAACCCGGCCCTCCAACAGTTTGAGGGACTGTGACCTGGCCCTCTGTTTAAAAGGTTTGAGGACCCCTGAATTAAAGGATCCTAGAATTGGGGGACTACAAGAGCTATCAATTCCAGCCTCATTCTGCTATTGAAATAATCATAGGAGCCTGGAGTTGGGAGGGACCACAAGGGCCATCATTCCAACTCACTGAAAGAATGATAAGATCCTAGAGTTGGCGGGACCACAAGGACCATTCAATCCAACGCTTTCTGCCATTGAAAGAATGATGGAATACTAGAGTTTGGAAGGACAACAAGGGTCATCCGTTCCAACCTCATTCTGCCACTGAAAGAATGATAACATCTTAGAGTTGGAAGAGCCCCCCAGGGTCATCCAGTCCAACCTCTTCCTACTGTTGGAAGAATGATAGGATCCTATTTATTTATTTTATTTATTTATTAACTTTATTTGTACCCTGCTACCATCTCCCCAAGGGACTCGATGTGGCTTACATGATCCTAGAAAGAATGATAGGATCCTAGAGTTGTGGGGACTACAATAGCTATCCATTCCAACCTCCTTCTGTCATTGAAATAACCATAGGATGCTAGAGTTGGGAGGGACCACAAGGGCCATCATTCCAACTCATTGAAAAAAATTATGAGATCCTAGATTTGGGGGGACCACAAGGACCAACCAATCCAACACTTTCTGTTATTGAAAGAATGCTAAAGTTGGGAGGGACCACAAGGGTCATCCATTCCAACCTCATTCTGCCATTGAAAAAATGATAATATTCTAGAGTTGGAAGAGCCCCCAAGGGCCATCCAGTCCAACCTTTTCCTACTATTGAAAGAATGATAGAATCCTAGAGCTGGAAGAGACCACAACGACCATCCAGTTCAATCCTTTCTGCCACTGAAAGAATGATAGGATCCTAGAGCTAGAAAGGACCACAAGGAACATCCATTCCAACCTCATTCTTCCATTGAAAGAACGATAGGTTCCTAGGGTTGGAAGAGATCCCCAGGGCCATTCAGTCCAATCCATTTCTAGAAGACTAAATCCAAGCAATGCGTCATCATGTGCCATCTCCCTTTTGATTCAAAGTATTTGGGGATAGCTTGGTCTTGAATGGGCATGGAACTGGAATTCAAGGAAACCATCTCAAGAAACATCAGTCCTCCTACCAAGCATGCAATTCAAGCCCTCCTGATTGACGGTCATCTAACCTCTTCTTCAAAATCTCTGGAGGAGACTCCACCAGACTCCAAGCAACAGGATATTCTACAGATGAACAGCTGTGACCATCAGGATGTTCTTCCCAATGTTTTGGTGGAATCTCTTTTCCTGCCATTTGAAGCCATGGCTCCATTCTGTCCTAGTCTCCAGAACAGCAGAAAACAAGTTTGTGCCCTTCTCAATGACACATCTTTTCAATGCAACTTCCTTTCAAATGTCCCTCATTCACAGCCATCTCCATCTCAGAGCGATGAGCTGTTTGGATGGAGGAAGGGCTCCACAAAGCTGAAACATTTCCAGTGGCCACCCAGCTGCTCCAAGGATCATCGGTGGGGAAAGTTCATGAATGCCAAAGCCCAAGTCAATGTCTGGGGCCAGAATCCAGTCAGTAGTCCCAGCTGCAGGAGATACATCACTGAAGCAGGTGTCGTTTTGGTGGCATGTGCATGCGTAAGTAAGATGAATTATTTGGCATCGTGCAAAAAGGGGATCCTGCCTGTTGCCACAGAAGCAGAGCTGTACCTACAGGAACATGGTGCATTGCGCATTGTGCTTGCATTTCATATTCCAGTTGTACATTGCACGTGTGTATTTTGTTGTAGTTTTGCATCATGCAAACCACACCCAACCATTGACAGTAGTTGTAGGATGTTTCTATTTTGCATGTGGGGTGCATAGTAAATAACTTCCACTGGAAGTTGCCAGTTTGCCAGCATCTTCTCTAGGAAATTATAGGCAAGACTTTCTGATCACTATGAAACACCAATTTCCTATTTCTATGGTAAGTTTCTATGCCATCTGTTGGTGGTGCTTTGAATGCAATATTCCTACTTTATGGCAGGGGATTGGATTGGATGGCCCATGAGGTCCCTTCCAATGCTATGATTCTATGATTCTAAGTTTGGGAACATATCCCGTGCAGCTACAGGAGGAGCTTTGACTTGAATTTATATATGAAAGTTATATATGACTAGCCGTCCCCTGCCACGTGTTGCTCTGGCCCACATGGGGGTCTCTGTGTGGGAGGTATGGCCCAATTCTATCTTTGGTGGGGTACAGAAAGCTCTATGATTGTAGGTGAACAATAAATCCCAGCAACTACAACTCCCAAATGTCAATATTCTATTTTCTCCAAACACCACCAGTGTTCACATTTGGGCATATTGAGTTTGGTCCATATCCATCATTGTTTGAGTCCACAATGATCTCTGGATGTAGGTGAACTACAACTCCAAAACCAAAGGACACTGCCCACCAAACCCTTCTGCTGGTCATGGGAGAACTGTGTGCCAAATTTGGTTCAATTCCATAGTTGATGGTGTTCAGAATACTCTTTGATTGTAGGTGAACTATAAATCCCAGCAACTACAACTCCCGAATGACAAAATCAATTTTTTTTTTGAGTGAAGGACTGATTGGGTTGTTAGATGTGTCCAAATTTGGTGTCAATTCATCGAGTAGTTTTTGAGTTCTGTTAATCCCAAAACGAACATTACATTTTTATTTATATAGATGATCTTTTATTTCTGTATTCTTCTCTGACCTGGTTCTTTCATTTTGCAGGTGCAAAGAGTTCATTTTGAATAAAAGGTTTCCTGAAACACATCAAAGTGCTCTACATTTTCCTGGGTCTGGAATCTATCCTTTTTCATTCCATGCTATTTTTGACACTACAATATCCGCAAAGACATTGACTTGGGCTGCATCTACAGTGAGGAATGAATGCAACTTGGCACCACTTGAACAGCCATGGCTCAATGCTATGGGATCGCGGGATTTGTCATTTGGTGAGTCACCAAATTTGACGGAGATTAGGCTACAGTCCTTACAAAACTACAACTCCCGTGATGCCACAACACTGTGCCATTCCACTTGAAGTGGGATCAAACCGCATTAATTCTACAGTGGTAGGGGTCCTCTGGATCCACATAGCTGGCTTCTCCTTTGGCAAATGTAAAGTATTCCAAACACTATCTGATGCCAGTGTGTCCTTATGGAGCGGGGGCGGTTTGGCGGGGAGTTTAGAGGGCCTAATCCCCAGCTAGATAATTCAAGGAAAGAGGATTACCCATCTCTGAACACAGCCCTCGGTCTAAATATAGAGAGATTCCACCTTTTCGTTTCATCTCCTTCAGGCACGGAGAGTCCTCAGGCAGACAGAGAGGCCTGTGGATGGAGACACACATGGTTTCTCCTTGTCCTACTTGGTTTGAAGGGAAATCCATCCCATCATCCTAACCTAGTCATGTCCCATTGAAGTGGTTTCTCCCAACAGTTTGCCACCACTTTAATTGACATGGCTTGGTGCTATGGAACCCTGGGAATTGTAGCTTTGCCATCTCTGTTGCCGCCTCTGCCAAAAAGTACTAATGCCTCTCCAAACTACAACTCCCATTACACCATAGCATGGCACCGCTGTGGTTAAAGTAATGCCAAACAGCATTCGTTATGCTCAATTGGTGCCAATGTCGGTATCATTTGGGCATCGGGTTTTTAATGAAAGCCTTCCGGCTTAGATCATGTTATCACTTTCTCCACAATTCCATCTTGGTCAAAAAAATACGAATTCTCGTTGTTCCCCTCCTTTAGTTTATCACGGGTCGTCTTGTTCCTTGTGAGATTTGTAAGCGTTAAACTGCTCATTAGCTCTTGTGTAATTCTATAATCTTTTTTCACAGAGGGAAAATAGCGCTATTGGAGCATTCCACTAATTCATGATCTGGGAAATTAATTTAGGATGCTGCCGAATGTCTCTTTGTTGGATTTGGTAACAGGATCTGGGTTTTAGGCCAGACATTTAAAAGCATAAGTGATACAGGGAATGTGAAGGAGGTTATTACTCAACACAAGCTTCATAGACTATCCAAGACCCTCCTATGTTCTCCCAAGATGAAAAGTGCTTCCTTAGTTGGGTGCTTTCTCTGCTTATAGATGGAGCTACTTGCATTTTTCTGCAGGAGCTAAGGATGC